TATGCGAGATTGACAGACTTCCTCGAGTCCAACTCTCTGCTAGACCTGCTTCAGTCTGGTTTCCGCGCTAAGCACTCTGTGGAAACGGCACTGACCAAAGTATCCAATGATCTACTCGCTGCAAAATCTCGTGGTCACTAATCTATCCTAATTCTCCTTGACCTGTCTACGGCTTTTGACACTGTTGATCATCAACAGCTTCTTCTCATCCTCCGCAATATCGGTCTACAAGATACTGCTCTCTCCTGGTGCTCCTCCTACTTCTCCCAGCGCTCTTTCAGTGTTTCTTTCTCTGGCTCTGCTTCTTCTCCCCAACTCCTCTCTGTTGGTGTCCCCCCAAGGTTCAGTCCTTGGTCCCCTACTGTTCTCCATCTATACTGCCTCCCTTGGTAAACTCATTAGCTCCTTTGGCTTCCAATATCATTTTTATGCAGATGACACGCAAATCCACCTGTCCTCTCCTGATCTCTCCCCGTACCTCTTGACTAGTGTCTCTGACTGCCTCTCTGCTGTTTCTAACTGGATGGCTGCCCACTTCCTAAAACTAAACTTGACCAAAACTGAAATTCTGGTCTTTCCTCCCTCAAGTGTTGTTACTCCTGTGTCTGTCTCCCTCCAAGTCAACGGTGCTACCATCAGCTCCACCACGCAGGCTCGCTGCCTAGGTGTTCTCTTTGACTCCGACCTCTCCTTCAAGCCTCATGTTCAATCTATCGCCAAACCCTGTCATTTCCATCTCAAAAACATTGTGCTCATCCGCCCCTACTTAACGCCAGATGCGACCAAGGTGTTGGTCCATTCCACTGTCTTTTCTCGCCTTGACTACTGTAATCCGCTTCTCAGTGGTCTTATGTGCTCCCAACTAGCACCGTTACAGTCCATAATGAATGCGGCGGCGAGGCTCATCTTCCTGTCCGCCCGCACCTCCCATGCCTCACCCTTCTGTCAGTCCCTACATTGGCTTCCTATAAAATATAGAGCTCAATTGACGGTTCTTTACTCTGGTTCTTGCTTTCAACTCTACATAATGCTGCTCCCACCTATCTATCCTCCTTATACACAAGTATGTCCCATCTAGGCCCTTACGATCTGCTGAAGACTTACGTCTATCTTCTGTCCGTACTCCCACCTCTGATGCTCGCCTTCAAGATTTCTCTGCAAGGGCTGCACTCCTTCAAAAAATCATTAAAAACCCACTTCTTCATAAAAGCATATCAATTAAACTGTTAATAACTCCTGACTGATTCCTCTTCTGCAACTGTCATTAGTCTAATACTATCCTTACCTTTTTGTGTCATTTTACCTCACTCCCTCTAGCATGTAAGCTCATTGAGCAGGGCCCTCAACCCCTCTGTTCCTGTGTGTCCAACTTGTCTGGTTACAGCTACATGTCTGTTCGTCCACCCATTGTAAAGCGCTGCGGAATTTGCCGGCACTCTATAAATATCATAATAATAATAATACTAATGGGCCAAATGGTTCTTATCGGCGGTCACATTCTATGTTTCTATGTTTCTAAATGGGAAACTTATAATTGTAGCACTTTTCACTAAAAGCTGCAGTTTAAGCTACTGGTATAGTATTGTGATTTGTATTTTGTCCCTTTAAAACACTCATACCTCAACCACTCTGTAGGTGGCCAGTGTATATGCTAACAAATTCCATTTATGACATTTCAATGGAATTTTGGTAAAGAAACATATTTTCATTGAATAGGTTTACGTGATTAACTATCGGCTATGATGGGGCCCATTTCACATTTAGATCACAGTAGGAAGTGAGGCTTGTCAAGAATTATGCACATCTGTTTATCATCCATGGTTGATGGTTTGATAGGACAGTTTAATAAGACCTCAAAGAAAATACTTAAAAAATGTGTTAATACATATAAACTCACAGGGATAAGATTATTCCATATCTTATGCTTGGTGTACGTCATGTCCTACAGGTGTCTATGGGATTTCTTCCTCTGATTCATTATGTGGAGGCAAAACTATGACCTCCTGGATCTTGTTTAAGTCATGAGAAAAGTGTCAAGTCAAGAACTCTGGCTATTGTTCAACATAGCTGGAATTAAATTGATAAAATGTGAATATTTTCTCAGGAAAACCTAAAAACAATGTTCTCTAGAGAACTAAAAGAAGGGTATTATATTGCATATACTCAGGTTAAATGCAAAACTCACACTTTCCATAAAATATGTGCTTGTATAAATGTACATGCTGAGAAAAGGTGTAGCAAGAATTATGTGGAAAAAAAACTAATTTTTTTTTTGATACTTTGCTGGATTCTGACTGATGCTAACCTTGGTGGTTGTAGATAAATATATATTACATAACAACCATCTATGATCAAATCAACATTTTTGTAGAGAAATAAGCTTTGGCTTTGTGAGAAAGTCTGCTCCCTTTTTCCTCATTACGATCCTAGGCAGTGATTAGTGATACCAAGTGTTTGAAAGATACAAAAGAATGTGTTCCTGCATTTAACTCCTTACTGACTGAAAAAAAACAAGTTATTTTGCGTTTGTTGTATTTACTTGCTCTAGTTGTGTAGACGTTTTATGATCAACACTTTGTTTTTAATATTTTGTTTTAACTTTTTCCCCCCATTTTTTGTTTTGTAATTTTATTTTTAACTAGCAGTATGTTAAGCATGCATATTGGATATCAGAAAAAAATCCCTGCCTGTCATATAAAAACAGTATATATTATATATGTGTATAGTTAAAGGGAAGGTGTTTAATTACAAGGGAACAAACAAAGCAAAAATGCCAAAAAGGCCTGTCTTGTGAAATCACAGAATTTGGGAAATGGCTCAGTCATGAATGGGTTAAATAAAACACATTTATTTTATTAACCATTTTATGATGATCAGTACAATTGTACTGTTCAGTAATAATTTTAAGAGAGGGGTGGCTATTTTAGTCACACTTTTAACTTTTTTTACAGTAATATTTCTTTTTAAGATTTTAATTCTTTCCTGTTAATGTTTTGATAACATAATTTACCTGTGATTAGTCTGGTGATTAAAGGGTAATCTTAGCACCAAAACAACTTTAGCTTAATGAAGCAGGATTAGGGTATAGTTCAAGCCCCTGCCTTCTTACTATTCGTTTTTCTGCCATTTATTAGTTAAATTGCTTTTTGCAGTCCTAGTTACACCTCCCCTAGCTATAACTCACACAGCCTCCATGAAAAAAGTTTCATTTACAATCAGGTCTTACTGCGCAGCGTGTTTACTTTAATATCAACCATTCTGTTTCTTAAATTTAAATAATACACAGGAGGCTGCCTCAGGCTGTAGCTGGCTATTAAAAGAGCAGGAGATAAAAATTCTAAACTAAACAGACTGTGCAATAAAGGAGGTTTAAACAGGAAAATGTGTGATTCTGTGTAGGAAAATGTAGGAGACTGTTGTTTCAGGAGATATAAATAAAGAGACTGCAAGCTGTTAGTGTATAGCAGCCATGTTTCAGGAAATACAGGAAGGAAGTAAACACCTCAACAGGAAACACATGCAATAGAGAATAAACCATAGAGTTAGTTGCATGTAAACCAAACATAACATCCATAACATCTCCCTCTTTTAGTATTAATAAATCAACATTGTGAAACACTGTCCTTGTAATAACATTCTAGAGGTTAAGTCTCTCAGGTGGTTGTGAATGTCTGCCACTACGAGTGATGACTGGTCCAGGTTGTGCAAATAGTCTTTTAGCCCTCTCTGAGGTTACTGGACTCTTCCCACCACTTACTGGCATGCTTTGAACTTGAATCCAGCTGACAAGGTTGGCATATATTATTCAGTCTGAGATTTACATACCACTTTTTGCCCTTAAACTTTACAGCACCAATGCATTCCTTTGAGTAAATCACATCATTGCTAAGCAGGAGTGCATCCTCAGAATCAGACGTGTTCAATTGTGTTTAGCTTCCTTGCTTCTTGACAGACATACTCCAGCAAAATGATTTAGCCTCCCACATGATCTACAGGTTTTCGCATATGCAGACACTGTTCTTTCGCTCTCACATGTATACTGCCACAGTGCTTACACGATGTAGACTTGCTCACAGGTGAGTTGCTTTGGTGATTATGGTGTTGATGCTTGTGCTGGTGGTTCTTCAAGCTTAGCTGTTGCTTGAAGGCTGCATGGATGCTGTCAGTCTGTTTATCCTGCTCCATAGCTCTCATATGTTTGTCAGTAACTTCTGCAGTGCGACATATCTCAATTGCTGCATGTAGGTTTAAATCATGTTCCCTCAATAGACGGCAGCGGGTACTCTCAGTATTACTACCTAGAACTATTTTGTCACAAATAAGTTCATCTCTCAAGGAGCCATACTCACAGCTTTCAGCTTTTTCTCTCAGCCTTGTGACACAGTTGTCTATTGATTCACCTTCTTCTTGCTTCCAGCTGCCAAATATATATCTTTCATATATTACATTTTTTGCAGGTCTGAAGAAAGCTTCCAATGCATCAAGGATGGCTTTAGTGTCATGCTTTTGCTCCTCTGTGAGGTTCAAATTATGCTTGTAAACATGGTAGCACTTGTTACCGTGGAAATAACAGGAACAAACCACAGAAGCCACACATAGAGATATGGACACAGATCTTCAGGAAGTAAGAGGCCTTTATTAACATACCGATCGGGTCTCAGATGAACTCCTGTTCCAAAAAGATCTGAGAGAGAAATCCATGGTGCAGAGGCCTTTTGTTAACAGCATATCCCCTCCCATACAGTAAAACCCCTCCTATATTCCTCAGACCAATCAGCACACAGGATATTCAGGATCACCTTATATGGCAGACCACATGGCTTGTTGAAGACAAAGGAGTTTATTACCTACTTCCACACATGCTCAGTATACTGATGACTCATCCAACTGTTTGTAATCAGATACTAATTAGCATATGCCATGTGGAGATTTTGGCCTACTAAATTTTGACCATGCTAGAATCCCATCACACACTCACTGCCCATCACCCTCCTAAGTGTGGCTGCTTGCACTGCTGCAGGCTTCTCATTCAGCCCTGTAGCCAGGGAGTAATCCTCAAACTCAGCTCTGAAGTTATCCCAGTTACTGCTGCAATCCCCACTCACCCTCATTGCCTCAGGTAGTGGAATGCTATGAGCAGCTGCCATGATGCTGGTTTTCTTGTTTCCAGTGCTCAGCTTGCAGGACAGTAGTAGCTGTAATTGCTACAGCAGGCACACTCACTTCCAAAAAGTCTCTCACTGCAAGACATTCAAGCTCCTGGCATCAAGTGTGTGAGAACAGATTAGGTTCAAATACTTCTGACACCATGTTTCAGGAGATATAAATAAAGAGACTGCCAGGTATTAGTGTATAGTAGCCATGTTTAATCCCTTAAGGACCAAACTTCTGCAATAAAAGGGAATCATGACATGTCACACATGTCATGTGTCCTTAAGGGGTTAAGGAGATACAGCAAGGAAGTATGCACCCCAACAGGAAACACGTGCAATAGAGAATAAACCATAGAGTTAGTTGCATGTAAACCAAACATAACAACTATGTAGGTCACATGCAAGGGAGGTGAGGCTAGACTTGCATAAACAAAGTGATTCAAGGCCTAAATGGCAGAGAATTGAGCAGTTAGACTGCAGGAGCATGATCTATCAGCCAAAACCGGTCCATTAAGCTGAAATTGCTTTTGTGCTTATAGTGTCTCCTAATGATCTTTTATTTTTTTCCGTTAGTAGATGTAGAGACCCCTGGTCAGCTGATGGAGGTTACTTATAAAATATACAAGGCAGGATGGAGATACCATTGTCCACCCCTGCAAATTTGTGCTATTGCACTGCACCTCTCGATGGCTAGGGGTCTCTGACTAAAATACCCCACCTATCCTCCATTCCCTATTAATAGTGAGAGCGGGCCCAATAAATCTAATAACGTATGAAAACAAACTTACCATCAAACTAACTTACCAACAAACTTACCATCTGTTGTACAGGGAGTGCAGAATTATTAGGGAAATTAGTATTTTGACCACATCCTCCTCTTTATGCATGTTGTCTTACTCCAAGCTGTATAGGCTCGAAAGCCTACTACCAATTAAGCATATTAGGTGATGTGCATCTCTGTAATGAGAAGGGGTGTGGTCTAATGACATCAACACCCTATATCAGGTGTGCATAATTATTAGGCAACTTCCTTTCCTTTGGCAAAATGGGTCAAAAGAAGGACTTGACAGGCTCAGAAAAGTCAAAAATAGTGAGATATCTTGCAGAGGGATGCAGCACTCTTAAAATTGCAAAGCTTCTGAAGCGTGATCATCGAACAATCAAGCGTTTCATTCAAAATAGTCAACAGGGTCGCAAGAAGCGTGTGGAAAAACCAAGGCGCAAAATAACTGCCCATGAACTGAGAAAAGTCAAGCGTGCAGCTGCCACGATGCCACTTGCCACCAGTTTGGCCATATTTCAGAGCTGCAACATCACTGGAGTGCCCAAAAGCACAAGGTGTGCAATACTCAGAGACATGGCCAAGGTAAGAAAGGCTGAAAGACGACCACCACTGAACAAGACACACAAGCTGAAATGTCAAGACTGGGCCAAGAAATATCTCAAGACTGATTTTTCTAAGGTTTTATGGACTGATGAAATGAGAGTGAGTCTTGATGGGCCAGATGGATGGGCCCGTGGCTGGATTGGTAAAGGGCAGAGAGCTCCAGTCCGACTCAGACGCCAGCAAGGTGGAGGTGGAGTACTGGTTTGGGCTGGTATCATCAAAGATGAGCTTGTGGGGCCTTTTCGGGTTGAGGATGGAGTCAAGCTCAACTCCCAGTCCTACTGCCAGTTCCTGGAAGACACCTTCTTCAAGCAGTGGTACAGGAAGAAGTCTGCATCCTTCAAGAAAAACATGATTTTCATGCAGGGCAATGCTCCATCACACGCGTCCAAGTACTCCACAGCGTGGCTGGCAAGAAAGGGTATAAAAGAAGAAAATCTAATGACATGGCCTCCTTGTTCACCTGATCTGAACCCCATTGAGAACCTGTGGTCCATCATCAAATGTGAGATTTACAAGGAGGGAAAACAGTACACCTCTCTGAACAGTGTCTGGGAGGCTGTGGTTGCTGCTGCACGCAATGTTGATGGTGAACAGATCAAAACACTGACAGAATCCATGGATGGCAGGCTTTTGAGTGTCCTTGCAAAGAAAGGTGGCTATATTGGTCACTGATTTGTTTTTGTTTTGTTTTTGAATGTCAGAAATGTATATTTGTGAATGTTGAGATGTTATATTGGTTTCACTGGTAATAATAAATAATTGAAATGGGTATATATTTGTTTTTTGTTAAGTTGCCTAATAATTATGCACAGTAATAGTCACCTGCACACACAGATATCCCCCTAACATAGCTATAACTAAAAACAAACTAAAAACTACTTCCAAAAATATTCAGCTTTGATATTAATGAGTTTTTTGGGTTCATTGAGAACATGGTTGTTGTTCAATAATAAAATTAATCCTCAAAAATACAACTTGCCTAATAATTCTGCACTCCCTGTATTCTTTCTTCTAAAGACTTCTTTTGTTCAACCCAAAAACAAGCAATAAAAAAAAGCTATAACAACCTGATGTTCCAATTAAAAAAAAAAAATCATATAAAAAAAAAAAACCCAAATAGAATTGAAAACCCAATGCAACAAGAAAACGATCCATGTCGGACCACAAGGGCTCCACAGAGAATTAGCTTTAAGGTGGGCAGCACCATTATTAAGATTTTCCCCCGGGGTGGAGGGAGAAACATTAGGGTGTACCCACATTTTTTAATATTTAATAATTACCACCTGCTGCCCACATGAGGAAAGGGCTTGGACAGTGATCTGTCCATCCCCCTTTATTTCGCCTAAAGTCCCCATGGTATGGGTCTGATACCCATGTCATGTTTACCCTTATAAGATAATTTTTTGAAAGGTATAATGTGCTGGCTAGCTGGCCAACTGCCACATGGTTAACCCTTGCTTTGCGTTGTGTTAGCTTTTCCAGTTGGCAAATAGTTTTTAAAATCTGTATTTAAAATCTGTGCTTGGATTTTAATACTCCGTGTCCAGATTTCAGGCACCGAAATCCAGACCAAATTCAGGCTTATTTGAACTTTCTCTGCAACATAACAGCATTGTTAAATAGCTTGGATAATATCTGGAATTTGTATTCCGAATGGCCCTGCACAGTACCTAATTGTTTTCCCACATTTAGGAAGAGGCCATTTGGAGTTTAGTGAATAACCCTGTTAGTGTTATAAAGGTGTAAAGGTGTAAAAAAATAGATCAAAAAAATGAAAAAAAATATAATATTTTAGAAGAGATGTGCTTTCTGCCTTTCTGCCTACCTCCATTTAAAAATTTCTCAGAACCTACCACTACCTACTATAAAATGTGTGTACCCATAACTTAATGGCCCCTGAAATATCCCCATTTTAGGGTATCTCCCTGCATCTCATCTACAATTTCAGTAATAGGCAAATAAATTATCTAAAGATGTTTCTGGCAGACATCATGTATGAGAATTTAATCAGTTAAACACATTTATATGCAAGCCAATATTTTGGATATGAATAGTATTTCAAGGTAGGAATTAGGTTCTACAATTTTTTAATTTTTTTTAATGATAAGGCCCAGTACCCCTCTAAAAAGGATCCCGACTAAGTATCTCCACCATGTCTGCTCCTTATCTGCTACAGGGGACTCTGGAGTGCTTCAACCTCAGTCGCCGAAACATGACTGGGAAACTCTTCCACCTGACCAGGCTGCAGCTCTCTTCTTGCAGGCAGGTATCGTCCAATCTGCCTTTGCAGATTCTTTCCCATGCAGGTATTCACATCTCTGCCTTCACTGTGAATAGCTCTTGCTTTATAAAGGTACTTGCGGATCTCAGGCCAAGCTCTATTTTTGACTTGTCGAGGGCTAGAGAGATCGTGCAGCTAGCCAACAGGTCCAAAGACTCTGGGATCTCTGAACAAATTCACACAGGAGTCAGGACACACAGTTCGAAAAGGAACTAACATACTGAGCTATATTTTTACTCGGGAACTAACCTACTCAGCTTTATTTTTACTGCTCATTACATGTAACTTATGGTGACAACTCAATAAAAATGCAACTAATCAAATTATATGGTAAAATACACAAGACCTCATAATAACACCATAAAATATTCATAGAGGGTTGGGAAAACAATAATTAACACAAAATATCTCTCCTGCCCACAGAAACCATAACATGCAAATCTATCTGTATATATGTGAATTAACAAGCCTTACTATTTAAGTAGTGAAAATAGCTGTTGATACCAAAAGATGATGCTATAAAGGTTCAATATGAAAATCCACCTAGTTGGTAGCCAGCATCAGCAGAACAGGAGAGCACACAAACCATGTAACAATAAACAAATACATTAAACAAACCATGCACCTATAATGGCCAGAGGATAACTTAGACATAGGAGTGGTCCAGGGTCCTACATAAATTGTTCAGCTGAATCTCCTGGTGACGATGACTACCTTCACAATAGACTTTTCAAGAAGTGGCTCCATATAAAGTATCTATTTAAATAGTTTTCTGACAATTATATCCCAAAGCAAACCATCTGTGCAGATTAATTACTGGTGAAATGTAAGGAAAGGATGCTTTTTAAGCGGTATATTCCATCTAAGGGTTCACATTATTAACAGCTATTCCTCAACATTCTACATTTACATCATTGCCTTGATGAAGTGGGCACAAATTGCAAGAACTTGTGGGATTTATTTTCTTCCCCAGCTGAACAAAGACTATCATGTATAGATAAATGAAAAAAAAGGAAAATTTGCTTCATACTTACCGTAATTTTCTTTTCCTGATAATTTATTCATGGCAGCATTTACTCATGGGTTAGCTCCTCCCCTCACAGCAGAAAGGACAGGAAACAGAAATCTGAAACTGGTATAAATAGATCCTCCCCCATCCCATCAGTTAGTCTTTGTTATCTAGCTTCACAACTCTTATAGCATATGGGTGGGAACATAATGCTGCCATGAATAAATTATCAGGAAAAGAAAATTACGGTAAGTATGAAGCAAATTTTCCTTTTTCCTGACCATTATTCATGGCAGCATTTACTCATGGGTAATACCCAAGCTGAATATATAGAGGGAGGGACAGAGTTCAAAAACAGCCAATAGTTATAAAACCATTATTGGGC